ATCATCAATGACAACGGAATCTGAATTTGAGTAATTTAGAAAGACAACGGCATATATAGGTAATTACAGTATCCGTTGTCCCGTATCTCATTTTGAATGGTTAAATTTGATGGTAGAACATTATAATATTAACTGTACAATGAATATTAAGACACTATGATTGATTGTTGTTCCAAAGGAATTTAGTCTAGGTGCTCTATTAAACATACAGTTCATGAAAATCTAATTGAAGCGACGATTATGTCCGCCATTTGTGACAACGGTATCTGACTTTACCGTTGTCAGGCTATTCCGGGGTGAGAATAGAAACCGTTTCAATGAAAATATGTCTAATTTGATAGCTAATTGCATCCCAGAAAACACATAAATCGTTGGTTTTAAAAGCTCGAGTAAATTAACAGAAAAAATGAACAAGACCATATGAGGTAAAAAATGATTTTTAAAATATTTGATGGCAGCGATCGTGATAATAAACCGAGTGCTTTAAACATTGTTCAAGCAAAATGATGGAAATAGTTTTGGAGTAAAATGTTGTACAGGGTGGTCAAAAAAGGAAACCCTTCATTTTCCTAAAATCTTTGGCATTCTAAAAATATATTCCCTAGTTTTAGACACATTTGTACATCATTCAATTTTCTACCACCCACTCTGGTGGTCATATTTCATGACCGCTAGACTGTTGGTTACAATTTTGCAACACTTTGAACAACATGCTTCATGTTTGGCCATCATTGCGCTGGAGGCAAACCTACACAGCCAAAGCCACTACAAATGTACAATGTTTATGTATTGTATATGTATTTGTAAAAATAATTTACTTACTTTCTTAAAAGCTTACTTTTTACTTTTCTTTACTTACATAGGTTTGGTGTGGATACTAATATTTCAATCTATAAAAGAGCTGTGAGCTGTTATAATGATATAATAGTTGTCGGCATGTTTTGAGTCTCTCTGCGCTTTCAAGAAATAATCCCAAATGTGCTTTCGAACGTCATAATATGGTGTATACATGCATTTCTAATCGATCATATCTCAGTCAATATTCATCATTATATTTTCAATTTGATAATTAATGAAAGCTTATTACAATGGCATTATGAATGTGAATTAATTATTTCGATCCGATAAAATATCACCGAGCTACGAGTGCTAACTTGTTGACATATTTTTCATTAAAAATCAGAAATTTGTATCATTTTCGCGCGTTAATTAGGCTATTAAAGCCAGTCGGGGCAAAAAATGACATTTGACATTGTGTTCCCGATTTTGAACATCAAATTTCACATTTATAAAAATATTTACAAGAACGGTACCTGGTTTGACATGTTAGTGGTATTTACTTCATTTAGAACGTGTATAAACTGTATTTTGACCCCATGAGCATCGAACAGACACTTTAAAACACTCGGTTGACAAAATGTGTATGAAATGATTCTTTCATTCCTGAAAAATTGGCCTAAAATTTACATCCGAGTGGTAGTTTTTATCCGTTGTCATGGCAACCGACAAACCGCGTGACATGAAATTTTTATCATATATCAAGTTACCATATAAAAAGATATCCTAGTTATTTAAAACCATTCCATTGACTATTCTTGGAGTTCTAGCCCAATTTCATTGTTGGGGTCTAAATTATAGCTCATGGGGGAGGGGGGGGGGGGGGGGTAAATGGGCGCAAAATCTAAAAGCTGCAAAAAAATAAGATATAATAATCCATACAAATATGCAAAATTATACTTGCAAGTCATGCAAAATGATATCCCATAAAATCCCTCCGAGTGCACGCCTAAACCATCATTCGGATTGGAATAAAATAGATTTCAAAAACTGTTTACATGGACGTAAATCAGGGGGTGCTCATTGCATAATCTCTATTTCAAAACGGACTAGAAATCACATTCAAAAGAATTTTTCGTAATACTGTTTTTTGTTCTCTGATATTTTGTATTGTAAAACACTAGCAAATAAAAACAATGGAAACTGATTGGCACATGTGAAATACTCACATATGATTCATAGCCCCGGACATTATCCTCTCTCAATAATTCGGCGACGCCATAGTTTGCATTTCGTTTATTGTAACTCGCGCTTGGTACCATTAACTCATGAACACGCCTAGTAAACATGCCCGAGATGCCCACATGGGAAATTTCTTTTACCCGAATCTCCATTTTTGGTACAAAGCAAATGTTTTTGAAGGGGCTATATGGAGCCATACCTTTTGGAGTTATCTGGAACCTCACATGCCCTCATGTCCTTTGCTTGAACTTTTTTGCCAAGGACTTTTTGTTTATCTAAAAGAATAATATAAAAGCAAAGGCTGTTGTTGAATATTGAAATCCCCCAGGATCTCATTAAGATGAGACTTCGAGGAGACTTCACAGCTATATTGCCATTGTACCTCATTTGTTCAATCCTTGAGAGTCATGAAGACAGAACATAACAAAAGTTAACATGACAGTCCCAGTGTGACCACCACACGGATAACGCACAAATATAATGCGAGATCCCCAACAGGTGAGGTCGTACTGCACGTGGTTGAGACTTCATCCCAATCATACAAAATACAGACCGTAGTGTAAAGTACATTTTAATGTTTCATTTCGTCAAAAAACCTAAAAAAGGGAATAGTGATGACCCTTGATATCAACTCGCTACTACAGTCTCAGCTGTAGTGGTTAGTCCCTTTAGCTAAAGTGATAGAGCGTCAGTCTTGTGAGCGGAGGATCCTGGGTTCGATTCCCGCACGGTGCATTGAATATACCACATTCCCTTTCATGTCTGTACATGTATCTTGCTTGTAACATTACAGCTCCCCGGACGAGCTTGTCCACGGGCCGTTACAGAATCAAAAGTCCCCATAATTGGAACAATTGGAACAACATATTCATAATATACGCGAGTGATATGTGTATATCTATGATTTCTTGTGGTTTGGCCTAGGTTTCACTGAAATAAAATATGTGGCCTTTTATATTTATTTTATTTATATATCTTGATACTTTGCCATGTTATTTTCGAAAAAATAGCATGGCTGATATAGTCCTCAAATTACAAGAGGTGTTGGGTTTATTGTACATAATAAAACTAATTACTCTGAAATCTAAATGACATCGTAAACAATATGAATATATTTTCCAACAATTACAGCACAGTGGTCTTTTGATTCCTCATTTTTAGGTTTTATTGAAGAAACTAAAACATTGAAATGAACCCTTGTTCCTGAACCCTGAATGAAATGTCTCCATTTTGCCATTGTCTTTCTATACTAAGAGTAGTTTAAATACGAAGCCAGTCTGGCAATTTCTACGTCACCATTTCCATTTTCTACATTTTAATAACTTGACCGAAAAATCTCATCTATGTGTTTTGACATCTTGATTTACAATGCACGTCATTCCAGCAACGCGCACGTTGTTTTAATTCTAGTCTTAATACTGTATTCATCAAATCAAACATGTACAATTGCGCATGCGCATAGAAATCTCAATATAAATGTCATCTTAACACACTGAATCCACTCTGCATCTGGGATATGAGAATTCAGATATGACATAGCCAGACTTCATAATGAATGCGTTTTTCATTTTGATAGCTCATACAGCTATTGTACAAGACACCAAAGGAAAAGCAACAGGAAAAGATTGGGATCTTCGGCTCGTGAATGGACCTGGAGACTATGCTGGAGCCCTTGAAGTTTATCACAACTCAACCTGGTTCTCTGCCTGTGATAACGTTCTGAAGTGGACGACAGACTTTAGGGGAATATCTAAAGGTAAAACGCTAGATAAATGTTCTAAAACATTTTTGTCACTATCCAAATGCCCAAATATCTGTTTTTGTATTAAGAGTTGCTTTGTGTAAAAATCGTGATCTGAAACTATCGTGAGACATATGTCATAATACATGTTTGGGATAGTGTGAAAATACAAAACCTTCCATATCAAAGACCCTGGCAGTATGTTAATATAGATATCGGAACTAAAGATTTAAAAAAATATTTTTGCAAACCAAATTAGTTACTGATAATATTTTCTATGTTAGATTAAATATTGATAAATATTTTGATTCCTGGGCCTTCATAATTGTATAGAAGTGATCCAGTTATAACCCTAGCATTTTGATTTATTCAAAGATGTACCACAGCACATCTTCATTAATTAAAATATCACATCTCTCTTATATATTTAAGAAAAAGAAATTTAATAGATATCAGATAATTCTAATAACAAAGGTCAATAATGTGGCACTTGCAATTTTTAAGCGATGTGAATTATGAATAGAGTTGGAGTTACACTTAATTGTACAAGGGGGTAATAAGATTCCAACAGTATGCACTTTGTCACCAATACAATGTTAGATAACGACTTGGAACTTTCAGGGAACAACTAGGCTCTTCGAGGGAACAACTAAGGCTCTCTATTTAGCCATTATGACATTCTTGAAACTTTTAGGGCCTGAGGGATAATTATTAGAGCCTATATTAGTTATTAGTTTTTTTTTTATTATATCTTTTATCGACTCTTAAGATGTCATAAATATCATGACATATTAGTCACTTAGGTAGAGCAGTTCTTCCCATTGTCGAGTTGAAGAACTGGTATCTTTATCCTGGCTAGAACCATAGACAATTCTAGCCAGCGCCAGCCTTTTATAGAGTTAGCAGCACTCTAGTAATCGCCGGTATAGGTCAGCAGTCATAGGTCAAAGACAAATCACAAGAAGTGCTGTGACCTGGGTTTGAACCCAAGACCTCTACTTTTCAGCTTGAAGCCAGACTTCCTAATAACCACTTGGGCTTTTTAGCTAACTAATAAGTCGGTCTAACGAATATGGTTTGTGGTACGCATGCGCATTTCAGGATGTAGTCTGCAGTCGCCAAAATCGAAAATGCACCAGGCAGTGATTCTCTCATGTGATTCATCAGTGTCAATGTATTGATGAAGAATAGTGCATGTTATTAAATTTCTATTTCCAGTAGCCTGCCATTCACTTGGGTACGACGATGGATTTCTTCGACTTAATTACTTTTCGCATAGTCCCCTGCCTCCGTACATAGGCCCCAGGGTGCCACGTACATGTTCAAACACTGACTTTCGCCACGTAAGCGAGTGTACACAAGTCGACACTTTCATTTACAAAAACATGTGCCTCTACACATTTAGTCGCTACATCTCTATCATCTGTCAAAACGGTAAATCAAAAGTTTCTTATGTGATATATATACAGGGTGGTCCAAAAAAAAAGTGAACCCCTGCAACAGGCTATAATTTTCTTAATACATGCATGAATTTGCTCATATTATCACATGTTGTAGAGAAAGGTCTAAAATTTTGGTTGGTGCCATAATTTATTCTCAGTCTTAAATTTTGAAAAAATTACAAGCGTTTAACAAACATGCCTGGAAATTAGACATTGTACAAAATTTTACAAATGTGATTCACGGAAATTGTTGAAACACATTGGATGATCTTTAACAGCTTTCAGTTAGAGATACAAGTTTAAAACCCTACCATATGACAAAAGGAACACTATTCAAGCAGAAAACACATTTCACACTTTCATTGATCATTTTGAAGCATTTTAACTGTTCAACAGTTCAGGGGTATGTTACCTACACCAACAGTTAGAAGGGGGCCTCTTATGGAAAGGAAGTTGCCCCCTGTGACCAGGAATCTGATAACCCCTTCATTAAATATCTTTAAAAAATCAAAAGAAAATTAAATGTTCAATGTTTTGAGCCATATATCATTAGAATTGGTCCATGATTTATGAAAATATTGACATTTCAAGATCATATAGGGGTATATTCATGATTTCACTGGAAAATGTTTTCGTCTGTGGAAGCTTAGCACATCTCTTTGGATCACAATAACTTTGCAACTAACAAATGTAGGATGCTAGTTTTAAGCCATAGTGTGCAAGATTTAAAATTGAACAAAGTCAGAAAATATTAGTTCTTTAAGACTGCAGCTTAAAAATTTCTCAGGGGAAAGGTGTTAAAGGGTTGAAGAATCGCGGATACTGAAAATCACAATTTGTCCATTTTCAGTCATATTTGGTTAGGGCTTATAATCTCTGCAAATTTCAAGACTAAGAAAAATGTATGGTACCAACATAAATTTTAGACCTTGCTCTACAACATGTGAAAATAAAGAATAATTCCTGCAAGTAATAAGGGAAATATGGCCAGTTGCAGGGGTTCACTTTTTTTTGGACCACCCTGTATATTTTTTTTATTCATTTATGTAAAATAGATGTACATGGGGTAATATAGTAAATACAAGAGAGCATATTCAAGTGCTAATCACCATTTTGGCATTATAAGCACTCTAGCCTAGCGGGGATAAAGTTGAAGAGGGGTGGAAGGGGGGGGGTCTGAGCTGGGCTGGGACTGGGGAAAATACAGGGCAGAGGGACAAAGTAATTTATATTTGCAAGACAAGGCAGGGTGCAATAGGTTCTAGAATAGTCTTGTTCAATATGGGGTAAGCCATCTCTTAATAAAGGCAGAAGTCAGAGTAAAGATTTTTGTGTTTTCATCCTTGCTAAAATTACGATTGCCAAAGGCTAGGTATTCTAAAAGTGTAGATTGGTTAGTGAGGATCAAAGGAGTTTCAGTATAGAGAGTATTGAAAAAGCTGGTTCTTGCATTTTCATTCAGAGGGCAGTGAAAAAAGAAGTGTTTTGGAGTTTCGGGTAGACCACAAGAACAGTTAGGAGAACTGATGAAGGTGTAATTGTGGGCAAAGAGTTGAGCCCTGAAGAGCAGGTCTACCCTTAACCTATTTATAAGTGTTTCTTCATTTCTAGAAATATTTAGCTTGAGGTAGGGATTATGTTTATGTCAAGGTTGAGAAGGTGCTTGCGATTGTTGTTCTTAAAGGCGATGAGGGTTTTACTTGTTTGAATATTCTTTGGTACAGATAGCCAATGGGATATTGCATTTGGTATGCAGGAGTTCAGGTATTTGGAAGTGGCGTGGTTGGGTAGCCTATAGTGGCGAGTATGTCGTAGTTCTCTTTGAGTATCACATCGAAACTTATCAAAAATATCGTTTATGTATGGTGGAGATGTACCTTTACTAACGTTGAACATGAAGTTGTTAATTTGGAGTTTTCGTCTAGTTTCTAGGCTTGGCCAATTTAATATGTTAAGAACTTTAGTTGTGCTGGTTCCTGGTAGACAACCTGAACAGATAAGAGCACATTGATAGTAGGCACTATTTAGATATCCAAGTAAATACTTGGAAGATGAGTCAAAAAGAAGTGATCCATTGTCAAAGTGTGGGAGAATGTAGGACTTAAAAAGTGTTTCCAAGTGAGAAGATGTCAGTTTAGATTTGAGGGGTTTAAGGGGATTTGTGAGTTTGTTATGTAATATAAGGCCTCGTTTTATAATCTACCATAAGGATATATGTCCACTCGTAAGATGACACAAATTAAAGGGGCAACAAGGCCTGTAGAGAGAAAAATTCGAAAGATTTTACTTCTTCTGAGTTATCAGGGCAATATTTGGCTAAAGATGTTCTCTGACATTTCTTAAAATGTATGGATAAGCTATCAATTTCAGTATTAAGAAGTGTGAATTCAGTCCAAGCTTCTATAAAGGAAGTCCCACTTATAGATTTTTAGGGTCCATCACGTTTTAAGAGGAATATAAGCTGAAATAATGTTCATCCTGGGGGTTTCTTTGTAGATTATAAAAATGTAAGTGTTGATGAAATATTCAAACTAAATATATTTTGACACTGGTCCATGATAGTTGAATGGCCCCTGTGCACTAATTTTTGCACCTTTAATGCAGGTTGTTCACTTGGTATTAGGAAATGTTTGCTAGAGTAATTCATAATTAATATTTGCACCGAAAACGATTTATACTCTTCGATCTATCATCAACGATTTTGAATCCCATAACAAAAAGAAAAATGGTATCAGGAAATTCTTGAACAACTTAAATTACGTACATATATACTTTTAAAACAGACTTTAAACCAGATCAATTCATTTTATGTGACTTGCCAAGAGGCACTAGATCACTGATTTCACAGTTTCGGTATGGAATTCTACCTTTGCATATTGAAACTGGCAGATTTGTAAATAGCAATGTGAATGAGCGTTTTTGTAACATTTGTAAGTCGGGTGAAATCGAAGATGAAAAGCATTTTATTTTTGATTGTAGTGCATATAGAAAAAAAAGAAATGAGTTCTTTGAAAAATTGGAAATAGAGAGTCTGACTTTAAGTGACATTTTTAAAAGTAAAAGATACACTAAGATGTTTGGTCAGTATTTAATTGACATAATGCAGATCAGGAAAGACTTTATTTTTAAACAATAACTAGCTATTTTAAAATGTTCAAATGTGTCGCATAAGCCCAGATAGGGCTGTTTGTATGATATGATACAAGTGACACTTTAATAAAATAAATAAATAAATAAATACATTATTGAACAATATACAAGTATAGTACTGCTGCCTAGTGCCAGTGACATTATAGGCAATTAATAGTATAGGAGCAATGCCTCTGAAGAGTGTTCAACTGATATCATATTTTTAAGAATTATTTATTTTATTTTATATTGATACAGAACTTTAATGATTGAATGACTTAAACAGGAAACACGGCACTTTGGAACATAATTAACAACATATTAATTAGAAAAAAACATACAGAAATTGGAAGACTGAATTGGCACCAACTTCTTTCGATTGTTATGTTCTGGTCATTTTAATAAAGAATTTATGATCCTTTGTTTCTTTGTGTTCGCTGCTTGCTGGTTGAATTGCAAATATTTGCTTGCCATAAGTTTATTTGCACAAGTGCGTAATCACAATTACGTTACGTAATGTTTCATAACAGCATAATTGTTTACATAATAGTAATTATTAATTAATGCAAGTTGGGCATTAACAAATAAAGCCCAAAACATGACCAGATTTTGAAATCTGATGTCATGCATTCCTCTTGTAGGTGTTGTTTTGAAATATTTGTATGACCGCTCAGCGGGAATGAAAAGTTTAGGAAACAACGCCTGAGTGGAATGAATCACCCACAATGCATCGAGTCTTGGGCTTAACTAAATTCTTTTCAAACATATGAAAAATATTTTATACAGTTTTACTTATCATCCTTAAATCGGCATGTTTGTTGATGCCATGTAAATTCTGCAAGATAGACTGAGTGACATTCATGGTTCCCACAAAAACTTAAGACCCGCTCTGAGAAGTGGGATTTTTAGCCTATTAAATGCGGGTAATAACTGAGGTATAGCTTGTTGCAATTGTTCACTTTTTGGACCACACTGTAAAAGATGAAAATCTGATTGGTAAGACAAGTGTGTCGCCAATATAGCTACGACGATAAAAACGATCATAAATATCCTCACAATTATGACGGCACTATCCCATTAGTGGTCTGCAAAAGCAAGACGATTTCCAAATACTTATTGAACAACATCAAGATAAAAATTCTGTAAATGCACAAAATATTTATGAATAAATGTTTAAAAGTTATTACTTTAGCTATTTCATTTTTAGAACAACACGAAGACACAGAAGTACCGATTCCACCAGTAAGGCTCGTGACTAATAATGATGAAACCGATGCTGAATTGCGTATGAGAGGGGTCGTTGAGATCTTTCACAACGGGAGATGGGGACCTTTTCCTAAAGATAGCATAGATACAGATGAAATTGCAAGGTCGGTCTTTTTACTTTTTTACTTTGTTCACATCGCGTCACCTAAGCTCAGGCCATGAATCTGTATCTAAAGATGTCTATTTTCAGCGTGTTCCCTGCGTTACAGGTCAGAGGTCATATTTAGCTCACCCCTGTCAGACAGATTTTTCGATATATTTCGCATAAAAATGCGGTAGTTTTTGCGGTATATTTTGAAAGACTGTAATGCAGTAGACTCTTAATAAAACGGTAGTTTGAACGGAAGTTTTTTTAAAAAGTGGATCATCTTTTTCAAAAACGGTAGATGTGACGGTAGATTTTTTTAATTGGGTTGAGCCCGATTAGGGTTGTGCTATATTGATAGTCGATTATGTTGTTTTGTTGGTCGTTTATCTGTTCTTGCTTAAATGTGTTATGATTTTGGTTTTTTTTAATAATCATTTATTTCAAATATATACTATACATACAATAATACAATAATAACGTTTGACAAGGTTACAAGTAACATTATTGTCAAACTGAAAACCTTAATGTAGTTACATTCATAATTTTTACTTTAGAAAGAAAGATTCATTATTTTATTTAAAATGGTCAAATTGTGTGCTTAATGTGTAGAGTTTGGTTACGGGTCCAGAAGGTCTTTGGTGGATTGCAAAAATGACACACTTGCTTTGATTATTAAAATATTAGTATTATGATCAAAATCAGGGTGACCAAATAAAAGCATGTCCATTTTATCAGAAGAATTACAATCTAAAAATGCACTTAAGCAATCCGCCATATAGAGATCTCTAAGGAGTTGACATCTTGGGTTCATGTATAGAGGGCACTGTAGAAAAAAGTGTTTTGGTGTTTCAGAGCGATGACCACAGGCACATTCTGGTGAAGGTACATTGTTAAAATTATGTGCAAAAAGCTGGCTTTTCAAATAAAGATCTACTCTGAGTCTATTAAATGAGACTTCATTTTTTCTTTTAACATTACTATAAGTTATGAAATTAGTACCATTGAAATTTTTGGTGTTTGGTTGTGTCTAACTGCGTTGTGTTAATTCAAAAATTGGTAATATTAGTTTTGTTTGCAGTGTTGGGTTGGTTGGTTATTGGGTTGTGCCCGATTGTGTTGTGTTAGTTTTACAGTCTTGTTTTGAGGGTTGTACATTGTTGTGTTATGTTAGTTTGGTATCAAGTTATTCCAATTGTTTTGTGTTAACTTGACAATGGGGTGTGTTATGTTGGGATTTTTTATGCTGGTGGTGTGTAGGGTTGTGCCAACTCGAGTAGGTATCAAGTTGTGTCCGATTGTGTTGTGTGATTGATGTAATCTCAAGTAGGAGAAAGTTAGTTGGGTACACTCGTATCACAGTTTGGTTTAGTTTTATAGGTTGTGTCTTATTGTGTTTAAATGGCATGGTTCTATCGGTTGCGTATTCGATTGTGCCCGATCGTGTCATATGATTGAATGCCATCGAGTTGTGCGTAATTGTGTTGTGTGATAGTTCAACAATGGGCTATGTTGAATTTTGTTTTTCTTTTCTGTATAAAGTCGTGTAACTTGTCACTTTATGAACCGATTTATATTTCAAAATGTTGACATTTTTAGTATACAATGTTTTAGTATAAAAAGAAGTAGATTTCATCATTCTAAACAAACTGATAAACATACGTAAAATATTGGGCGTCCTTCAACCGATCGTACCAAACCATATCACGAAACTATCGTACCTAGTAGGGTCAAAGTACGGCAATTACGTTTGTAGTCTAGTAGGTCATCTTGTTTGAAGTACGTTGTCACACAATTCAGTTTTAAAACGGTATGGTCGCCGTCGAATGTTGAAATGGTTCAAAATTCCAAATCACCTTCCCGTCCGAGCATGTTCGTGAAGTTCGTAAATAGACAGTAGAAAGTTGCAGCTACGTTCATTTCGTTTGCATACAGTTTAAAGCCAGTTTCGGCAATGTTTTGAAGAAGTAGTCACCACCAGTATGGTGGTATGATAACTATTTGTGCTTACTCTTTCATACGGAGTCTTTATTCCGTCTACACAACGTATCCAAGCAGTCCAATTACGTCCTTAATCAGTTTAAACCCGTTGGTAATAACATAGTTCTACTTCTTTCTAAATACGTTCCTAGTAGGATTGAAGTACAACGGTTCCATTCGTAGTACGTCCAACTCGTCTCAAGTACGTTGTTACTCGTTCTGATTGCAGAACGTGACGAACAACAGAAACCTTTGAAAAAGTTCTGGAGTACGTTCATGTAGTTTGTAAACAGACCCCAAACGGTTCTTAGTACATCCAATGTGTTCGTACACAGTTCAAGCCCGTTTTCGGGAACGTAGTGAGAACTAGCTAGTTTGGTGTAATAGTAGGGTTGGGACATTTACCCAGAACATATTCCGTTTTACGATTTTAAGAAGGGATAGGAAGTCACTTAGTGGCCCTTAGGGATAGGTATAAAATGATAAGACAGAATGTTTATGCTTCTTATTATAGAGTAATATGTAGGGAGCTTGGTTGGCCAAATGGAGTGGTGTACACGCCAAGCACAGAAGAGAAAATAACAGTGGGACGAATATGTCATGCAATTTGGTACGTGAAATGTAGCGGAAATGAAGCATCGATCACGGACTGTTCCATGGATGTATCACCGATGAGAATGCCGTGCAGAGATTTAGATTGTCATGTAGAGTGTAACAAAGGTAATTTGAACAATAATTGGTCAAAAACATTCATAGTACTAAACAAAAATTTCAAAAAGGCGCTGGACAAGCATTAATGTCCTGTTTAAGAACCCAGAATGTGAAATAGTTAACCCCTTTTGAGGAATAAGTAATTCCTTTTACATAAAGTGGAAAACAATATTCCCTATGTTATTTTCCCATAGGAAAAACTCATGCGATCCATTGCTTTCAGCTTGATTTTGGTCACCCATAATGGATATCTTTAAAACTCTTTAAAGCCTCACTATGCGTATTTTCAACATTTCCGGGCAGAATAAAGACTTACTTTTGAACTGCATAGTATTTCCAATGGATTGACAAGTACTTTATCTTTCATTGGACATCAAAATCAGCTCAAACGGGCCACACCAAAGCTTACAATAAATTATTAAAAATATTTTTGATCTGTCAAGTTTTATATATCAAGTTTTTACCAATGTCAATGAAAGATGGCGAAGTTGTTTGTTAGTACATGATTCTTTCATTTTTATAGAAGTGTCGCCATCTTTTAAATCAAGAATCATTTTAAAATATGCACTTTGTCAAAAATGTGCATGGACTACTAAAGAGCCCTTACTTCAAATGCTGTTTTCTACGTGAGTTATTTTTGTCTCGGTACAATATTAATGCAAATCGAGTTTTGTATAATACTTGATTGAGTGTGTACATAACACGTTTCAATGATTTTTTTCTTTTTTCCTTCTAAATTAAGCATTGTAGGCCTTTAAGGAATTACTTATTCCTTTGAAGGGGTTAACTGTGTGTCAAAACGCAACATATTTATGCAACAAAAATTTAAAAAGCAGGGGCGGAAGGGGTTGAAAATCAGGACATTTCAGAAAAGACATGTGGGTGAGTTGTGTGCATCTTCCCTGTTTCAAAGTCGAAATTATTTTCCCATCTCTATGAGTGCTTTTCCTGGAGGTAATGCATGAGTCTAACGTATGCACCTCTTTAAATCCTCAGGAAATAGCCAAAATCCAACATGACTGTCCGAAGTGTGTTGCGATACTTTCCGTCTTCCTTTCTTTTAAAGTCAAAATGATACATAAAGGACGATTCTCGGTTTGGAGAACAGTCTTCTGGGCTAATAATTTTTTTCATGAAAAATATAGAAATATTACCCAAATTAAATTATGAATATTCAAAAGAGGACATTTAAATCTACAAGATGTAAAAATAACAAATTGGTCTGAAGCAGGGATAACACTCAATTAGACCGATTCAAAAAAATACAAGTCTCGATTTGGGGAAAGAGGTTCATCAGTGTACTGCGCTAATATTTTTTTGCGAAAAATCTAGAAACATTACCCTAATTAAATTATGACTAATCAAAAGAAGACATTCAAATCTATATTATGTAAAAAAATCAAATTTGTCCGAAGCAGGGATAATGCTCATTTAGATTGATGAACTTCGTTCTCCAAACCGAGAATCGTCCTTTTGACTTAGATACATTTTAAAAAGTTTTCCCGATTCTATGCTTAAGAAATCCAATCAAGCCATCTATTGTCTTTATCTGACAAAAATTGTTTTGTTTTTTGTTTTTTTATAATTTTTTTTATTTCAAAGAATAAGCATGTTAAAGCAATTGCAAAAAACAATTACAGTACAGTTACATGGTAAACATACATTTTACAATTTTAGAATTGTAAAATTGACAAAAATTGTTTGTTGCTAAATGGTTATACACAACCACGTGTGGATTGTTTTGTCATTTGAATACCTTGTATGGCATTGGACTTATGTTTAAAATGTTCATAGATGAACTGGTTGAGGGAAAGCTGGCTTTACGAGTCGGAGGTATACCTACTAAGGAACAAATGAATGAGGGATTTCTTGAAATCTACTTGAACTATAAATGGTGGCGCATATGTAACACTGCATGGGACATTTTATCAACTGAGGTATTTACCTAAAAATAGCATTTTGCGAACCTTTAAAAATATACCAGATCCTATAGATTTGGACTAATTTAACAACGATTCCTATTTTGAATTGGTTTCATACTACATATCTTGTTATTCAAGTTTAGCTACAAATAAGCCATCAACCAATGCAACAATTTATATCAGGGATTAAGAGAAGATCATTGATGCGTATCATATTTTAAAATCTAAGTTACCATTTCCTGAGCTCTTTTTTAAAATTAAGATTGCGTGTAAAAACCTGGGCTATTCTCATGGACATTACAAGCGCGACGCCTGCTTGGAGTTGTGGGACAGCTTTAACTGCGAGCTTCATGAAAACCTGCATAGCACTGTGAAATGCTATGGGAATGAAACTACCATATCTTCGTGTATGTATGACAGACATAACAACGCAGACAGCAGCTGTATTTTTGGCCACGTATATTTGAAATGCTTTGGAGGTAAGTATGTATTTTAAGGAGAATATGTACTAGCAATGTACCCGTTCAAGTGGGCCACCAAGGGTCACAGCAGTCCCCACATCGTAGAAGCCCCAATAAAATGCTAAGTACCTGTATGATGATCGTTTGACCATGACTGATCTTTGATTTGAGGTAAACTTGTCCAAAGGACTCGAAACGCTAAATATCTAGATTGACTTTGACTTCAGGTCATCTAATCATGAGTCGCCAAGGGTCAGAGTATCCTTCAAGTTCCTTAAAACGCCAAATACCTAGATTCACTTTGACCTCAGGTCACCTAATCATGAGTCGCCAAGGGTAAGAGTATCCTTCAAGTTCCTTAAAACGCCAGATACCTAGATTGACTTTGACCTCAGGTCACCTAATCATGAGTCGTCAAGGGTCAAAGTATCTTTCAAGTGCTTTAAAACTGCAAATACTTAGATATTGACCATTGACTGTGAGATGGCCTTGACCAATAAACATTTTTTTTAATTTTCCTGAATAAAAAGTATTTGGTATGATGATTGACGCTATTGCTGCCATGTTTTCCCATAAAACTTTAAACAATCCTTAAGCACATGAAATATGTCTTGCTTAAAAAATTTGAGGATTTCAGAGTATTTTTATACTCAAGAACAGCTAAAACGATCGTGTCATGGAAAAGATCCCCATAGATCCCCGCTTGGGTACACTGATCTTTTCGCATCTGCTCTAAATTCAATTCTTTAGCTGATGAAATTAAAAACGAAATTGTAACGACCCATGGGCATTCGTCCGCAGCTGTAGTGTAACAAGCCAGATACAGACCTCAAAGTTGGGAACCTCACAAGTCAATGGGACAACAACAACAGTGTATCTCTTTCATCCTCCGCAGGATGTGAAAACATTCATAGTTATGTAATAGGAGTAAACAGTCCTAAGGCAATGGGACAAAGTCGTACCTGACTCACTGTCACCCTGAGACGAATACTTACCCATTATGATAACTGGAAAATCGCATAGTCCATATAAAATACTTACATGTATATGATAGCACTATTTGTTTAAGCTGAAAACTTCACAAGTCAATGGGACAAAGTCGCAACTGTACCGTTGTCACCGTCAGCAGGATGTGAAGACATTACGATTGCTGAGAAATCTGGAATGGCAAACATACTCTTATCGTGTCAGGTAAATTCTCTCCGTGGGACAAAAATAATTAAAGCATAAATCGTTAAATATTAATTTAAATATTGACAACAATGCTTTAATTTTGTAAGTTTTTGCATAATTAGAAAGGTTAACAAGAGGAAAATTTGAAAATATCAATTACGCCAACTAAATGACATCACGGTGTATAAGATCATGCTATAAAATCGTATGTATTTACTTGGTCTATCCTGTGGAGTAAAAGAAAGTTTAATTTACAGTATAAGCTGTTGAGTATTTTTCAAGTTTCTTTTTTTAGATATCTTAAGCAATTTTTTTATTATTAAAACAATAAATATTTGCAAGTAGTTTCGAACTTACAACATCCCTACGAAATTATGAAAATTTTGAAAAAATCAATTACGCAAGCTAAATGACATCACGGTGTAATCTGATGAGATCATTATTGTTTAATGCTATAAAATCGTATGTATTTACTTGGTCTATCCTGCGGAGTAAAAGAAGGTTTAATTTACAGTATTAACTGTTGAGTCTTTTTCAAGTTTCTTTTTTTAGATATTATAAATATTGGCAAGTAGTTTCGAACTTTAAAAGTCCCTGAGGATAACCCCTTTCTAAATTCCGATTATCCAATCTTTATAATACATACGATTGTGACCATTTTTATTCATCTACACAGCCAATCTACAACAGTACCGTATGGTACCGTTTTGGAAATGGTACTGTTCGGTACCGTCATATATGGTACCGAACGGTACCGTAGACTAAAACGGTACCCTGCTGTACCATGAACACTGTACGGCACTATACTCCAACGGAACTGTACGTTACCATACTCTTAATGTACCGTACGGTACCGCGATTTTAAAGTGTGGATGTACCTATTTTATAAAAGATAGCCTAAAGCCATTTTGTACTTGTGAATAGCATATATTTCTTGATATTGGATTAAATACTTTAGAATACCTAGTCAATTGCGCACCATCACAATGCTTATCATTAGGGCTCAAATCTTTATAATGACCTTCATATCCAAAGGTAAAAGTAAAAAGAGGAGATCAGTTCAATCGCCCGGAAAGTGAGTGTTCGTAGATTCGATCCACTGGGGAGGACTGACTTTTTCACATCAGCTCTTAGCACAGGATTTCATCCTGTGTTTTCATTTGCCAATTTCATACAAGACAAAGGATTCTTGCCACACAACGGTTATGTTCTCAGTGAGCATAATGCTTGATACCTTTTAATACGACATCATTCCATTACAGGGAAGATGCGGAGAGACTCCCACAGAAAGAAACACATGGTGCTACTGTGATTCAAAATGTGCCGCCAACAAGGATTGTTGTTTTGATTATGCCAAAACATGTCGCAATGGAGGTGAAGATCTTATTGAAATAACAGATGATAACACTAACAAAGGTCCCCCTGAGACTCCGGTTGACACTCAGGAATCAGCCAAAGAGTATGACACGAGTCAGTATGAGGAATGTGTGGAAACCTATGAAAAGTATGATCAACCAAGGCAGTATAAGATGGTATCAAGATGTCCACCTCATACACAAGACCCTATGGTAATCAGGCTGTGTACCATCGCATCATTACGGTCATCATTGTCGGGTTTTGTGAATGTTGGTCAAGTACCTGTTTATATTAATCAAACAGGTGAAACGTTCAAGAATGTTTTTTGTGCTGTTTGCCATGGATATGAGCTTGATGATGTTGTGTTATGGTCTTTAAGATACGAATGTATGGGTGGCGGCACTGCAGAAACTTTACAAACTAGAGAGCTGTGGAGAATTCGACTTTTGATTATAACCTCATGTGAACCAAGGGATGATGAGACAAAGCGTTGTCATACTTGTCGACTAGTCACAATTCCACCTGATGACGTGGCCTTGAGACAATGTCACCACCATGTTGATGAATGTCATGCTCGATATGTTCCGACTGCATATAAACAGTTACGCGATCTTTATCTGTTGAACGACATGTGTTTGAAATATTCAGCCCCAGTGATTCTCCAGACCAACGATGGTATAATGAATGATTCTGTAGATACTTCCAGACAAGTCATCTACAAGAATATTCATTGCGCAATGTGTAATGGCGGTGATCCCCACAAGTTAGGCTGCATGGTAGCTAAAACAACAAACGAAAGTGGTGACATATTCACAATTGTAGGCGATTACCACCAGGTCTGGATAAATGGCAAGAAAAGGATTTTGCTGACATGGTATTATATGTTAGGGAATTCAGTCGTTTCAATCAATTCTTCTGACAATGAGGCATGTAATGACGTCATTCGTTCTGCTTTGTGGCACAATCAGACGACTAATTTCATAGATTATTTACAAAATCAACTATGTACGTACATAGGTTGCACAAAGGGCTATTCAAGGATAAATAAAACATGCAAGAAAGATGTGCCCCAAGAAGCTCCGAACGAAGGCTTAATTAATGAAATGAATACATTGATGACATCACGGGGGAGTATGGACGGTAGAACAAACAGCCAATCACGTGCGTTTCATTCTAGTTCATGCATTGGCCGTTTGCTGTTGACTCTGTTGAACCTGGTTCTAGCATATTTCTATAAAATGATGCTCTAGAGCAAAATTGGGAAGAGAAAGACTCTAGAGAGTGATAAGACTGCAATTGACATTTCCAATTGACTTCGAGATGGTTCCATGATACCTTATACATGTAGATACAGTAAACGTTAAACTGATCCATCCTTAAATTCATGGTTAAATTCATCCTTAAATATTCACATTTATAAAAAAGAACGCATGTTCAAAAGTGAAAGTAGTATAATTCAGTCTTTATAATTTTCCTGAAATAAAGTATGGACAAATCTAGAATTTATAGAAAAAGAAATGGCAAGGAATACTTTTAGGTTGCTCTCTTGTTCTGATACTTTCTTTAAAGTTTCAGTCTCATTGGACAATATTTAGTTTTATCTGCCAACATCCCTAATAGGTAATATTCAGTCCATGTCTTTAAAAGGAGATGTTCTTTCATTGTTTGAAAAAATATATGTTCTCCCATGTGCAACCGACAGAGGAAATCTAGCTCTTACGTATCATATGAGCCTAAGGGAGTTATTCTCCTGTAATGCAAGACCAATGGAGTCTTCCCCCATTGGCCCATTATGCAAGGCCAATGGAAGCGAAGGCATTATCCTGCTATGCAAGGCCAATAGAGGTATCCTCCCATAATGTAATGCCAATGGAGGTATTCTGCCCCTACTCCTCCCATTATGTAAGGCCAGTGTAGTATTCTTCCATTATGTCAGGCCCATGGAGTCTTCCTTCCATTATACGAGGCCAACAGGCCAATGGAGGCAATTTCTCCTCATGCAATATCAATAATGGAATTTCCCCATGTTTTAAGACTAACTCCAATTATATAAAGTCATAACATCACAAAAGAATTGCAAAACACACGACAAAAAAGAAATTTCTAAGACCACAAACCGTAATAAGGAAAACAACATTAAACGCCAGATTTGTCCACTATATGCACGGGTTGTATCTCGAGCCCCGTTATAATTGAAAGGTCGCGAGCAAGTTCCCGCTGAAATCACGAGCAAAGTCATTTTTATTTGTTTCACCTTGAAATATGGACCAAAAGGCTAAGAATACTTATAACAGTTCTTTGATACTTTGGGTATAGTTTGTGAACAGGTATATCTTCACAAACAATGAAAGAAAATGTATATTTTTTCACTTGCATGGAAGAAACGGGCGTCAATATGCACGTTTGCATAATTTACTGTTAACATATTACTTTTATCGTTAAAATAGAGACAAGAACTACGATGTACATACCTCATAATGAATATTGGATCAACATTGTATGTATTGATAAGTTAGTCTACAATAGCATCTACTGTGGGGGGTGAAATACACCATTGAAGGTGTTCGAGTGGCCCCGCTGAAATTATGAGGAAGCCCCGCTGAAAACATGAGGAGGTCCCGCTGAAATCAGGAGCAGATTTCACGAGTACCCGCTTCGATCACGATGAAAGCTTCATTACTATTCCATGAACTTTTGAGATTTTTCAAATAAACGTACACGAAAGACCAAGTTAAGTATTACTAATAATTATATTATACTGTTTCATTCTAGGGCCACGTTTGAAATGTTTATATTGCAACTTCAAGTGACCCGAGAAGAACGATTTTATCAGACATGTTATAGAGTTGCATCCATCCTTGGATTTCAAAATAAACGAACCAGAATGTATAGGAGCTAGATGGATAGATCGTGTATTATACAATGTATACACTGTAAAGCCATGTATACACCATAAATAACTTTTCAATCGTTTCAATTGTTTCAATCGTTTCAATCACTCCCTTCATTTCCACGTTTGTGCAATTTCCTACGTTCCAATGCTTGCGTCATTTCGAACATTTCAATCGATTCACCTTAGACATTTATTAAAGTTTCGCTGTTTGCGCCTATTTCGCACTTTCAAGCATTTCAATCAAACGACCAATCCATGAAGAAACGGGTGAAATGATTCAAAAGAAAAACGAACATGCATATTTCAATCAATTAATTCGCCTTTAGAAGCTATTTTCGCATTCTCTTTCATTTCAATCATTTCAAGCACTTCGGCATTTTCGTCCCCCCCCCATTTCAACCATTTCGCCTGTCAGCGTATAGGCCCCTTTAGACTTCAAAGATGAAAGGAGAGAAAGGAGAACCACAAAGGCTCCATGATAATTCAGAAGACATTGTTGATTCTACTTTTATAATTCAAACAATAACATTTAACAATAGCAATTGAAAAATGTGAGATGTCAGGAAGATTTCGATGGTCATTTTGATGTTTCTCCAACTTGTAACTTATGTCGTATTTAAGTAGTCCATATCTGCCTACTGAGGTTCTAGGCACATAACGAGCGGGAATACAATCAATTTCGAAAGTTTATGTGCCTAGCCCAAAGGGGTGTATTCGACAATAGTATACCTCCTCTGAGGTCTATTTTTCAATTCGAACATGAAAACTCACCAAAATGTTTCGAATATTTATTCTGGTCCGCCATTACTACAAGGTCAAATCTCAAATCTATAGTCAGATTTCTGAGAACGCGTAAATGATTTTGAAAAAAATTAATCAATTTATAGCAAGTTGAAAAAATACTTTTTTTGACATTTTTCAACCCTTCTGACCTTCTAAAGGTCATCGAAGGCCAAATTTAAAATCTCAAATCAGCTTTGAACTTCTGAAAACTTATATATGCACGGGGGATAAGCAAAACGAGGGCGAAGCCACGGACTGCGACTCGCGTAATTCAAAACGAGATTACAACGCATTATAGCTGAACAATGGCGGTAAGTCCAAACTTAATTTGGAAGGCATGTTAGGATTTGGGGTAGATTATTGGTTTGGATATTCTACAGAATAGCTAGTATGTTGCAGTCGGTGATCAACATATTCATACTCCACCTGCAATGGCATTCTTGGTGCTCGGCGTTCCAATAGTTTAGCATGAACACAAATGAATTCGAAATCTGCCACAAAAAATGTAATTTTGTCAATATTTGTCCCTAATATACCGATTTAAACAAAGGAATCAGAAATGACATCGAATTAATATAATTATTCATGTTCTGTTGTTACAATTACATCTTCGTGTGATATTTGGTAAGCGGAAAACGTACAATTACATAGAAAATTGGAATTTTTGATAGTCGCAGTCCATCCATCTGCCCAACGCAGTCCGCGACTCAGTGTTGCTTTATATCTGAAGCTGAACGCAATCACAGCCAAAGGTAGACAGCACAATGTGTGTACAGGTGTGGCCGAAATGGAGCAACTTTGGACAAAATTGAATATAAAGGGCTATTTTAATAGACCTACATCGTGTCTCAATCCATTCTGCAAATATATACAAGCTGTCAAATACGGCTGAAATCATGAATTTATGGTAGCTAGCAATATTGATGGACTGTTGGAAAGATCATCCAAAATTACATTAACTCACCAACTCTCCAATTATTTGATATTTTCCTGATATCTTAAATACTAGTTAATGTACCCTTCCCCAACAGCTTTTATTGCATCATCAAAAAGTTAATTGTTTCGCATTTCTACTTCTTATAAAAAATCTCACCACCATCCAATTATCTATATATTTAACCCTATCCACAAATTGGTTTGTAATAAACATATTACGTTGTCATCTTGCGCTCGACTGTTCTGCCAAATACGCTATTGAATTGCCATATTTCTAGGTCTTAAACGATACAATATAGCAATTTGGGACATTGATTCAGGTAATAGATATATGTTAATCAACGTAACTTTGAATGATAATCTGGATGCTGACTTTCTTTTCCTGAAACAATAATAGCGTAGGAATATAGTTTACACTTTCTTATTTATTTCGTGTTCGCGGCTGGACTGCGTTGCTTAGAATATCAATGGAGGCTGTGTTGCGTTGTTGAAATAGCTTTGTTTACTGGACTGCGTCCACTATGAATGCGCAGTTTGAATCTAATTTTCTCCTCATGAACACATTCTATTATCAAATCATTTTCACGAATTATACTCGGAGCCTCAACTAACCTTTAGATATCAGAAACGTGTTAAAACTCCTTTCAAGTGTATAGTAAATTAAATAATATGCACATATTTTACAGGTAAAATCAGAACTTTGCTACTGTTTTAGCTTGATCTGGACAACTGCTTATTTTCTTATCTACAGACCAACAGTAGATACAGAGTAATATTTTGGTCACCGATTAGACACTACGATAGCATTTAAAATTCCTGGATTTCTCTACTTTGTCGGAAGAAGCAGAAGGCACTGCCGGATGTCCCTCCATTTTGGCGCTGGACTGCGGTGTAAAGTTACGCGAGTCGCAGTCCGTGGCTTCGCCCTCGTTTTGCTTATCCCCCGTGATATGATTTTGAAGTGAGTCTAAACAGTATTTGTTAAGTTATTGGAAGTTGTAAGAATTATTACAGCAAATCATCAACATTTTTTACCTTTAAAAGGTCATTGAAGGTCAAATCTTAAGTGTAAAGTCAGATTTGTTCTTCTGAAAACGTATAGATGGTTTTGAAAAAAATGATGTCAGTGTAAACGTATTTGTTAAGTTATTGGAAGTTGTAAGAATTTTTACAGCAAATCATCAACATTTTTTACCTTTAAAAGGTCATTGAAGGTCAAATCTTAAATGTAAAGTCAGATTTGTTCTTCTGAAAACGTATAGATGGTTTTGAAAAAAAAATGAAGTCAGTGTAAACGTATTTGTTAAGTTATTGGAAGTTAAGAATTTGTTGCAGACGCCAACTACCAACGACCATCACAAAAAACGGAGACCATAACAATGATGACATAGAAAAACGCTGTGTCAAAAAATCCATTTTACTAAGTTCAAAAACCAATTACAAAGAAATAAAATATAAAATCACTTTTTCGAGTCAATTTTCTGTTTCAAATATTACTTGCGTAATTGACCCTTTTTCAATATAAATGGAAAAAAATAGATGGCATCATGGGTGTTGGTAGGGCGAGATAACATGGCCGCCTATGGTAAGAGTCACCTATAATTTCTTGATTTAAGAAGCAATTCCATTTGAATTAACTTAAAACATCATTGGAATCTAACTGTATGATCTTATTGATATGTGGCTTGGGAATTTTAAAATTGAGATCCTTTTAGAGTAAATGAACTTTCAAAGTAAAGGTTTTAACATGATGTCAATGGGGATTTAGCCCGACCTTTTTAAGAAAACTTGATAATCTTAAGAATTTGAATAATGGTAAATAACTGTACAAATCAACAAAGTTGTTTTGATAGAAAATTACACACAGAATTCAAATATGCCATCAATGGAACAAAATATTGGTCTTTCATGGTTAAAAATGCAGATCTCATAAAATCTCATTTAAAACGAGACTTCAAAGAAATAAGGAAAAAACTCTATTGACAACGTATCTCGTTGTCTTATTTCCGATGTAGCAAACGTTTCCAATTAACATTTTGGAATGATAATTACTTCAGTGCTATGACAGTGTATAAGGGACGTTAAGATACACGTTTTTAAGATAATTTAAACGTGGACGTTTTAAATCATTACTCCCTAAGCGGATTGCTTGTCACCTTTGTTGTTTATTTGCCCCATTATTTAAGGTACAAAGAAGTTGTTGAAGTTAAGAATCTGCACGATTTTTGGGGTCAAAGTACACGTTCAAGTTCTCTTGAATAGAGAGGTTTGGCTAGTGGCTACGAGTGCAATGTTACAAACTATCCCATTCTTATTTGGTTTTGCCAGGGTCCTAGTTACATCCATTTTCTCTATACCTTCGTACTCAAATGAAAGTAAATACTATCAAGGGATAATTAATCCCTGGACACGTAGAGGACCATAATTGTAAGTGAAAGTACAAGTTCTCTCAAAAAAGTGTAGCTTGACCTCCCAAGTATGTGTCGCTTTAAAATCTCTACGGTGTCAATACATTCATTTTAACCCAAAAGTAAAGTCCTTTTTACAACAACACTCCGTTATCTGCCCTGGGTGATCTCAGGGGCGGATCTGGGAACCAACAAGGGGGGGGGGCAAACTTCTTGTCTGAGAAAAAAACTTCCGCGCAAAAAAATTTTGGGCCCCAAAAACCCAAAAGTGGGCCCAAATTTTGAAATTTTGAGGCCCATTTTCTTCAAAATTTAGCCAAAAATTGAAAAACAAGGCCTTAGAAGGCCAATTTTTGACCAAAAAGGCCTACTTTTTGGAGCCTTAAGGCCTTTTTTGGCTCAAAATTTTTTTTGGCCACAAATTTTTTTTCTGGGCCCACCCAAGGGGGGGGGGGCCCGGGCCCCTGCCCCCCCCCCCAGATCCGCCAGTGGATCTAATAAACCACGCATTTTCTTATCTTATATAATACCAACTTGCTATTTCCGTGACGTGAAGACACACATATAATAGGATAGTTTCTAAATAGCAGAAAAATCAATGAAATCTCGTGCTGCCATCTTTTATTCAGCTTTTAACTCTGGCTAGAGCTCCATTCACTTACATGCTAAAATCTTGGAAAAGTGGCTTAATTTCATGATTTATCAAAGTGTGTTTGTTGAATCTGTATAAAACTTGAATGATATACCACATGATGACCCTGTTTATGAACATGTTGTGATTAAACATGCAAATGTTGATCGACATACAAATAATCCATGGTTTTAAAGAATTTTAGCATTGCATCTATGGACATTTGGCCCAAGTTTTTTTAGATTGTCATAGAAAATTATTCAAATTACATAACTGTGTAAATCAAAGCTATTTTAGGGGAAAACATTTCACTGAATTCAAATATACCATTTAAAAGAAGGTAATGTAAGTCATTAGAGGTCTAATATGCAAGTCTCTTAAAATCTCACGAAAAACGAGATTTAGCGAGATTTCAAAAGCTATATGGAAACTATACTATTGCGTGCCAACTGCCACGGCCGCTATATTCAAGTACAAATTATCCATTTTTGATACTTTTGCCTGAACAAAATGAATGACAGTGACCGAAAGATCAAGCAAGTACGTTCTGTGAACTAACATTCGGGAGGTTAAGCTACACGTTTTTAGAGAACTTTTACGCAAATGTGTAGATTTGTGCTCCTCTATGAATCAGTTTTCCCGTTCGTATAGTATTTAAAGGGGCAAGCCCTGTAGAAATTTTCACTTTTTCTGAGCTATAAGGGCAACATTTGGCTGAACATCTTCATTGACAGTACATACCTTCTTTCTTTAAATGTATGGATAAACTGTCAATTTAAGCATTAAGTAGTATGTACATTAAATTCAGTCCATATATTCTGTAAAGGGAATTCCACTTACAGATTTCAACACGTTTCACAGCGTTTCAAGAGGAATATCAGCCGAAATAATGTTAACAATGAACGTTCATCCATGGGCTTTCATGAAAACAAATGTTAGTCTTGATAACATATCCAAACTTAAATATATGTAGACACTTGTCCATGATCATTGAATAGGAACAGAAATCCCCGAGACTCCTAATATTTCACGTTCACGTACAAGTTCTCTTAAAAGTGTGTAGCTTAACCTCCCCATTATTATTATTTTTACACATGATAAACGATGTCATCATTAGTACCCCTACAATCTGTTGTGCTATTGTTCAATATACCATGTTGTCATGTTACTATGGTAACCCTTCATCCATGTAACAAGTCACATTTATTTCTTGTTACACAAAATAAAACTACTATATATGTGGTTTTATGCCGAATATAAACAGTATTCATAACGTTTACACCAAACGGTGTAGAACCTTTGGACGATGTCTTCTCATTTCGCCCCTTCCCACTTTGCCCCTTCCCATTTCGCCCCTCATTTATTCCCATTTCGCCCCTTCCCATTTTGCCCCTCATTTATTCCCATTCGCCCCTTCCCATTTCGCCCCTTTCCATAATTGCCCCTTTCCCATTTTGCCCCTCTTACATTTCGCCCCTGTTCCAATATGCCCCCTACAAATGATCGAAATTTCGGGTTGATTTAAAAAAAGTCCGGGTTGTATAGAAAAAAGATTCCGGTGTAAAAGGGTAGGTGGTTCTATCAATTTTTGGTCCTACTCTTTATCAATTTATATGGTGACCTAATTACAATTATTTTCCTTATTATTTATACACAGTCAGGGCCAGTAAGGGCCGTAAGGAAAGGGGACCATAATCCCATCTCCTTCATAGCCTAATTGTGAAACTTTAAAGTTTTAGTGACCTTGAAATCTTTTGATACGGTGCTTACACTCATACATGTTATATATGATATACATGTGCTCTGTAGAGTATCAATAATTATTATATCTATTACGTTGGCTACAATCGTGGCAGATTTGCAGAGTAAAATCGGGCTTCACTCCATTTTGGAGAGACACTTGCTCCTGATTTCAGCGGGACCTCCTCATGTTTTCAGCGGGGCCTCCTCATGTTTTCAGCGGGATCTTTAGTTTATTGCTCATGGTAGAAGCGGGGCCTTGAGGGATATGGTAAAATGGAAATATATAACTTTTGGTGAAGCTTTAGGAAGTGAAACTCAGAATACCTTTATTTCATATCACTATGAACATTTCAACTGAAGGGCAACGACCTTCTTCAGCTATAAAATATAGAAATATATAGATAAAGATCTAAGATGATACATTCTCTCTCCAATTATCAAATAACGGAATTCAGAACATCAGCTCGTGATACTTGTTTTGCAGCAGTTGCCTTTTAGTATCACTGCCATGTAATAATTGAATAAAATTAAATGAAAACGCTTTGTACAAAATACAATTTAAGTAAACAAAAGATACCCCTTCATTTCTTATAATTGCTCGCGATTTCAGCGGGAACTTGCTCGCGACTTCTAAATCATGACGGGGCTTTAGATACTACCCGTGATATGGGTATAACACCATTTTTCGTAAAAATACTGAGAAAATCCCTAAGAAATTTCCACAATTTATTTTTAGGCTTTAATTTGATCCCATCCCTAGGCATTATTTGTATATCTCAAATAAAGCGTGCTTTTTATGATTATGATTTAATTACTGCATGATGAGATAGTGTTAAACAGTGCAAATGTTGAACGTACTATTAAATAATGGAGATATACAAGGTGTCCCTAAAGTCTTTACAGTTTACAGACCTTGTACTTGTAAAGCGACTTTATGAATACCCTGTATAATGCACCTAAAGGGTGTAACAAAGACAACAGGTAGGAGTAAGTTGACAACTTTAGTTGTCACACACATAATTGTAAGCATTAATTCACAACAAGGCTTATAATATCATGCATCCTAAATATTTTTGTGTTGAAAAATTTAAGAGAATTGATTGAAAAATAAGTGCAGAAAAAGTGGTTTTGAGAAAAAGCATTTCAAATGTTCTCACTGAATCCAATGGTACTGAGTATTCACTCAAGTGAACCTTCACAGTTCAGTTCACACCTGTATTCTTATTTTGTAGTTAGTAGGTGTAATATCGTCGAATACATCCCATAGCGCTAGGCACAAAAGCTTTTGAACCTGTAACTCCCTTCGGTCGTTCGGGGTACAGAAAACGTTTGTGCCTAGCCCTTCAGGTTGTATTCGACAATATTACCTCTGCTCTTCGGTCTATATTTCTTAAATAATTGGTATAATTATTATGTACGACACATAATATAAATATTCTAAAAGTAAGTCGAACATTCCTGCAATTTTAATGAGGGATTGAACTACATACAGGCATGCTTGCTCTGAACAGCTCGTCCAACAAGGACAGAGATGGAGAAGGTGTGGCTTACCACGATGATTAACTATGCCATTTTTGCTACATTGAAGAGGTAAGATATACTGTATTATATTGACTTATTATTTTCCACTTACCGGTGTTCCACTTACAGTACGTTTTACTGTAACTCAAAATGATAGAAGTTTGAATTTTATGTCACCTTAGGGGGGGGGGCTTCGGAGGACTTAAATGACAATACTGGTGTAATAAAAACACTTAAATGACAGTTGCAATAAGCTTGATCTATGCAGAATTGAACACTTATAGAGAGGTGCCCACTTGGAGCATGTTTGGCAAGGTATTGTAGTTTTTGACTATATAAGGAGATTGCCATCAAACTTACACAACAAAATTCATATTGAATGAACTAAATAAGTGGACTTTCAAAGAAGAGTATGCAAGATTGACCAAGTTCATCAATTTTTCTTCGGTCCTGTTTTTGGACACCCTGTATATCCGCTGAACAAAGAATTTCATCACTCTAGCTTTCACTATAATTAGTTAATAATGAACAGTACACGAGTGTGGTTCCTTTTATAAATATATCACTGTATTTATAATGTTCTGTAACAATATTTATACATGGCTTCATAACGGGGCAATTAAAATGATGGAACTTCAACATTATATGTATTTCTTCCATATAACTATTCAGAATGGTAAATAGGACTATTGGCTTCTTCAATGCAAGAAAAATATGTCCTCATTATACATGCAAGAACACATTTAGGATTTTCTAACCTTATGGACTTATGTCTTTGAGGCTTGTATGGATTACTATAATGTAATTATATCAGGAATGAAGAGTGGTGATATAACCGGTTGCAAACAGCCTTTATTCAAAAGACAAAAATAAACATTTGTCATATTTTTTTTGATTATAGTGACCTTGACTCTACATGTTTTTTGATTGGCCGTAATCATGGCTTTAAAACACATAATAAAAAGCAAAAACATCATTCACATATCCTAGAGTCAAGATTTAGTCACTTGCTTTGCAAATATATTGGGCTCAATTTCCAACTGGATTAACATTACTTTTTAATATATCCATCTTATTGTCTCTACATTTCCAATTGGTACTGAATGCTGATTACTTGGTCCAATATTTGGTTTGAGGATTTACTTTTATTTTCTGTCCCAATGGAAATTCATAATTTCAAGCATAGACATTTCAAGTACAAGTCACTTGAGTCTAATGTATTCTATTTGATTCATCAAAACAACTTAATCTTGAGTTGAGGTGCCATATAAACATCCACGGGTGGTTGCCATGCCAATGATGAGAGGTTGCCATATCAACCAGGATGAACTGCATGTTAACCAATGGTGATTGCTGATTATTGTTTATCTTGCTGGGCTGAATTTTCTTGGGATATAATTGACAAGTCGTTGCCCAACTAAATACCTGGAAAAACATTAAGATCAATCATAATTGTGAGAAATTATAAACAGTTATTAAAACATCTATTTGTTTTATCATCACAAAGTGTTACTAATTACTATTTTTTGACATCAGTTAAGATGCAATGATGAGGTCAAAGGTCACTGATTGGGTCAAACATCACTGATTAGGTCAAAAGTCATTGATTAGGTCAAAGATCATTAATTGGGTCAAAGGTATTCATTAGGGCAAAGATCATCAGAAAAGGAATGGAATCATTTTCCAACAGAGTAACCAAAACATGTTTTATGTTTCTATTTCTGTGGATTTTAATGTTTTTACCAAAAAGTCACTTACTTATCATTTTTGATGTGCTCATAAAGACGTTTGAACTGTCGTGCCTGCACAAGACATACTGTGAGAACTACGGTGCCTCCAAGTAACACAGGGTAAATACGACGCTCAATTAGGTACTCCAATTCAAATCCTAGTCCTGTAAATAAGGTTAAAATAGAATAATTAGAAAACATCTGAGGGATAGAAAAATCATCCTGATCACCAACAGTCAATATCGATATATCAATAGGGCCTATATCATATGTTCAAAAATGGTTCATAATATAAACCCATATTACTTCAGGAGCACATATTTAGCATGAATTTCAGCTTTATTACTTACTTCCTGATTAAATGGATCTAAAGTCAGAACCTTAAATCATTGAACTGGATATTTCACCAAAGATAGTCTAAGTGGGTAATAGGTGGCGCAGTTATCAGCATGTTTACATTATCAATTTGTTTACTTATGTCAGTTTTTACTATATTGACTTATATACTTTAACAGTTGTTTACTAAATCTTTTCAAAAAATAAAATGATCACAGCTCCATCTATCCGCCCAACCTATGCTTAAAACTTACCAAAAAGCGGAACAATACTTTTAGAAATGACGTATGGTCCTGCCAAAGTAAACCCGAGAACTCCAACTACAGGCCAACATAATTCAATGAGAATAAACCGAATATTCATGTTTCTTAATCCATCATTATAAACCTGGAATAAAAAACAGTACATATGAACATACTGACAGGTCAATTGCTTTGCACTTTTGAAATGTAATCCATTTTGTTAAGGCTAGACGAAATATAAGAAAGCTGTAGTATTACAAGAAAATGGAGGTTTGAAAAAATATTACTGATTATTGAGATTTACAGGATATTTTTAATATTTTTATTTGGTGTATTTTAGAATCAAAATTAGCCGCTAACCGCATTTACCCAACTTAATTGGTTACATGTAGACACGTATTAATCTAAGCCTTACTAACCTGTTCTATGGCGCGTTTCAACCACCACTGAGGACCCATCATTGTTATAGCACATATGATCTTAGCATGTAATACACCAAGAGCCCAATCCTGAAATATTTTTATACATATGATCTGAGGCTTCAAAAAATCTAAAGGCCATTGCTTTAAGATGAATCATAAAATGTCCCATTATTTCTTGACTAAATGGTGTTTTGAAATAAGAATATATGAAATTGTATTGTATTGTATAGTATTGTATTGTATTGTATTGTATTGTATTGTATTTATTGTATTGTATATAGCCTACCTGCCAAGGAAAGTATACAGGTGACTGGTCTAGAGGGACTCTCAATGGTGTTACAACCACAAGTTCAAACAACCAGCCTAACAGTAAAGGCACGAGTCCTATCACTATGCTGGCCAGGAGTACTCCTTTTAAAGCCTGAAAATACAATGGAGCTGATTTAAAACAACCCTTACAGTAAAGCCACCAGTCCAATCACTATGCTGGCCAGAAGTACTCCTTTTAAAGCCTGAAAATACAATGGAGCTGATTTAAAACAACCCTTACAGTAAAGCCACCAGTCCTATCACTATACTGGCCAGAAGTACTCCTTTTAAAGCCTGAAAATTTACAACAAAATGCATTGTTGGCCAGATATACTCCTTTTAAAGCCTGAAAATAATATGGGACTGATTTGTTTGAAACAAGCCTTACAGTAAAGCCACCAGTCCAATCACTTTGCTGGCCAGAAGTACATGTACTCCTTTAAAAGCCTGAAAATAATATGGAAATCATTGCATGTAGAGCAAAATACTATGATGGCCAAAAGTACTCCTTTTTTAAGCCTGAAAATAATAATCATTTTGCTCTAAATAGCATGTAGAGAAAAATGCAAAGTCCATGTACATATAATATCAGGGCTGCAGCGAGGAAAAAGGAAAATACAAAAAAACATAGATAGGCACAGCAAAAGTAAACCTAAACAGGATGCTTAACACAATCAAGGAATATCACTGCCATAATTTCAGTTGAAAAATATAAAGAGGAAGCATTCAAAGTGTGCATTTTCATTAAATGTTAAGTTTTACAGATTTATTCTGACATATCCATTATACTTATTCAAGTATACTGAAATGCTTCCTATAGTCGATTGCACACAATTTTGTCAAACTCTAAATTGAAGTTGCTGCTTATGAGATGTTAATTCAATCGATGATTTATATTTAAAACAATATTTCTATTTGGTAATGGATAAATGTCTATAAAAACAACTCACCAATATAACATACTCTTTAACTTTGTGGAATATTGCACTGTACCCCTGTGGGAGCCAGTTATAAAGGACATTACCGGCCCTCAATGTTAACCAACAAACGTAAAGTCCACATGCCGCTGTGTAAAGCTCATGGATTTTGATGCTTCCCATCCAGATGGACATTACTTTTCTTCCAAAATAAACTACAAGGAATTTTTCATATGAGAAATCAACATGGAATTTCATTATTCAAAATCAGGTTATGTTAATTGCAATTTTTCAAAAATCAAGACGATCTTAAAAGTGGCACAACCAGTACATTTTATCATTTGTTTTAAACTACAATGTAGAAATTATCAGATTGGCACTTGTTTTGCAGTATTGAGGAATTTCAGGGACTACTTAAGTTACATCCATAACATTAACATACTTTTCATCTCATTATGGATTTTATTACAACATGGTACCCAATGGTCCGCTAAAATACTGCAAAGTAATGCATGTACAGGGACTCTCCTTTAATTCTCTTTTAAGCAACTCTTAGCCATTCTCTGCAACTTGGAGCATTTTATTTATCGCCCATAGTTTTTCCAAACAATTCTCAGTCTTACCTGGTAAAATAAGAGCTACTGTGCTAGCTATATACAGGGACAGGCACAGGATTAGGAATAGTAGAGACATCTGCAATGAAGAAATCAGACATTCTGACAAAAACCAACGTATAAGTATATACAAAGGGTGTTCTATTTATTTTGATAAGAACTCTCTCATTTTGATTTTTATGCTGTCTTCTCTTTTTCATGTCAATGAGGTGATTTATGTATGAATACGTGTATATGAAATAAACATAAGTTTGCTTATATATAAATCATTTAACCAGTACTAAATTTGAGTGATTTAGGGATTGGAGCCAAAGAACTGTCATTATTCAAATGTTTTCAACTTAATTTCTTGAAATATAATAAGAGTTCTAATCATGCTGAACAACTTACTCCACTGTTCATAAAGTAATCATATAATGTAAACTCACAAACAATTACTTCAGTTGCAATTGTATACAATATTTTTGCTTAATTTAAAAATATCCAAGAAGGTAAGAATAAACACTGCAATACTTTTGGGACAACCTTCGTATATAACTATGACATGAAACACATACCCTTAGTAGGAAGAATTTAGGTTTATTATAAGGTTGGAAGCCTGTGGGTCCCCCACCCTGTAAAAGAGCCTGATGGGCGGCACCTAGACCGACCGCTTGCACCTGCAGCTGTTGTAGTTGTTGGGGAACTTGGGCTGCTGGTTCCTACAAACAAATTCATACTGCACTGTGGGATCTATAAACACTATACTTTAGAGTCACTTTTAGATAAAGAGGGACTTAGACGAGGGATAACATGCAAAATGTCACCACCTGCCATTTGTTACAAACACCAACCTCCAAACACTGAACACCAAACACAAAAAAAGTTGAAGACTATAACAATATGTCACCGCATTTGGTGGTGAAATAATTATTATTACGCTGTAGAAGGAGACTAAGCTGTATCTTGGTAGCCAGTATGAATGCTTTAATTTCATATTTACTTCTCTACATTTTAAGTGAGGAGTACCATTTATGATAATATGTTACATGTGTGATACTGGGTTACACTTATGATAATATGTTACATGTGTGATACTGGGTTACATTTATGATAATATGTTACATGTGTGATACTGGGTTACACTTATGATAATATGTTACATGTGCGATACTGGGTTACATTTATGATTATGGGTTCAATATGTGTATTTAAATCAGCATTTGTTTTCTTGAAAAATGAGTAATTTGAGATAATCACTTGAAAAAATGTGTAATTTGAGATAATCGCCAAGTGACTATTTGTTACGAGTCCCCTGGTGCTCTGAAGAAACAATAGATTTTCTTTCTTAATCAAAAATAATTGAAAGCACATATGGAAGTCATTTTCTTGGAAAAACCATGACTAACTTGGATCACTAATTAATACTACAGAGACATCATTATCATTATGTAGAGTAAACCACATTCATGTAACTCAATTCAATTCAGTTCAGTATAGGTGTCTGGTGGACACTTCTTAGAAATTAAAAATAAATTACAACAGAGCTTTGTAGCCATGAATTTTCTATAATATTGTTATGACGTCATATGTTTTCATTGTTACTCACTTGAGGGTTGTCTTCCTGTTGCTCATTCGCCTCATTTACCTCACCATCATTTCCTCCATCCTCACCATTCACCTCCATTGGCACCTCACCAACCTCTTCAGCCTCACCTATAAATGTATCAAAATTCATTCCACCTCACCAATGTTTTCTGTCATGTTATGGATTAAAGTCTCAAAAGAAATAATCTGATATAATAACTTGATATTATAATGATCTGATATAATAATATGATATGATAATTTGATATGATAATGATCTGGTATAATAATGGCTGATTATTCAAGTTAAGTTTTGTACGAGTGCATACAAAATTAAAAAATTAAAAATAAAAAAACACAGGGCTCCGTCAAGGTGGGTTCCCTCTGTACAACCAAGATGTATATTGCTATATATATATTTTCTTTTGGTGGTGAACAAAATACACATGTACTCCAATTTAAAATACATTACCCTAAAATACAATATGCAACAAAACCATAAAATACACTACACTACACTTCATGATTGATGTATCTTTACCTGGCTGATTCTGTGCTGCATGAATATCTGGCGCAGGTGCAGGCTCTTGTGCATGTGCAGGTTGTTCATCTGCTGGTGCAGGCTGTTGTTGTGCTGGTGCAGGGGCATGTTGCTCATTAGCACCTTGTGCAGCTGGTTGGTCCTCATCTCCATATACTGCTTCCTAAGCACAAGAATTTTACAAAAGGTGAACTCATACATTTGACATTCTCTTGTGAATATCATACTCATAATCATACAAAATATGTGCTGGGGGACTGCATGACTGTCTCCAATGAATGAATAAACACAAGGAGCACATGTGTCTCTAACACGCCCAATTGCCTAGCTCGAACATACCGGTGCTCAAGCCCTTTCGGCCAACTCGACAACCCCAAAAAAGGTTGTTTTGTCAGTCGATCTGACTAGAGGCAGCTGATGTTAACGCTCAAACACACAAGAGGAAGCACAACTGACATTTCTATCCCAAGAAATTTTAAAAATCTGCAAGATTAAATTCAAAAAACATACACACGTCTTAAAGTTTGGCCTTTTAATTTGATCATCAACTATAACTGTAACGGCTTTGATTTTAATTTAACTGATCGATAAGGAGGATTTATTGAAATCCAATTATAGTTTCATATAAAAGCATGCAAATTAATTTTACACGGCCTCTCCAAATAGAATACACTCTGAAGACACATTGCAGCATAAATATCCTAAACATGCAAAGTTCTGACTCTTAGTCTTAAGGGCACTCATCATTATTGACCAATCAATGCACTAGATTTCACCACTTACATCTTGAACTATTGGAACATCTCCGATAAGAAAAGATCGTAGATTTAAAATCCAGGCGACTCCTACAGTCCACCCTCTAACAACCCCTTTGAGCCACATTCTAGTATGTCCTTGTTCTAGTAAGGCAGGGAGGACAACTTGCAATAGTAATAACTCTAGAGACAGTTCACTAACAGGCGCGTCACTATAAATACAAAATTCTTTGCAATCAAATGTGTTAACAAAAATACTTTGCTATCAAATGTGTTAACAAAAAATACTTTGCTATCAAATGTGTTAACAAAAAATACTTTGGCTATCAAATGTGTTAACAAAAATACTTTGCTATCAAATGTGTTAACAAAAATACTTTGCTATCAAATGTGTTAACAAAAAGCAGCAAAAATAGTAACTCCATGGAGCAGAATATGTTTGATCTTAAAATTTATGTTTTCAAATATTGTTGAAACCATTTGAAATTTGAAATTAACATGCAAAATGTCACTATTTGTCCTTTGTTACAGACACTGACCACAAAACACCATCAACAAAAAGTTGGAGAATATAACAATATATCACCACTTCTGGTGATGACATAAAAATCAAAGGATTTGAATACATTAATCTAAAATGTACTGCAATCCACATACCTGCTAAGCATGACGTTGTATGGCAGAAATGCTGGGAATAGCCATTTGATGGCCCTAACAGGGAGCCAAAGCATAAGGAGAACGGTGCTGCCAAATATAACCATTGAGGCAAGGAACCTTCTTGCATGTCTGTATATTGGCAAGTGAATCATCTAGAAGAGACAAAGAATGTTAAGGTGACATATGGCATAATATAAAGGTTCACACTCAAACATACAAAACATCCTAGTTGTGAGCAATTTTCATCTCTGGCACATACATGGTTTAATTTTGGATCAACGGGTTTGAATTCTGGGTAAAAACACCTCATGTATAATATTGATCAATGGGTACTTACCTCTTGTATAGGGTTGATCAATGGGAATCTACCTCCTGTATAGGATTGATCAGTGGGAACTTACCTCATATATAGGATTGAACTCTGGGTACAAACATCCTGTAAAGGGTTGAACTTTGGGTACTTACCTCCTGTATAGGATTGAATTGTGGGTACAAACACCCTTTATAAGGTTGATATATTGGTACTTATACCCTCTTAGAGTTGAGTTGATCTCTAGGTACAAGCACCCTGTATAAGGTTGACCTATGGGTACTTACCCCCTTTATAGGGTTGAATTCTGGGTACAAACATCCTATATAGAGTTGATGTAGGCATTCTTACCTCCTGTATAGGATTGAATTCTGGGTACAAGCACCCTGTATTAGGTTGATCTAGGGTACTTACCTCTTGTATTGGATTGAAATCTGGGTCATTGAGATTCCTAAGGAACCAGAGCACACCTGGGCGCAGAATTTCTCTCAGCAAGAGGATAAATGATGCAAAGTAGAAAACGTAAACCATCCCAACCAACCAATGAATAAACATTGATGTTCCTGGTGCCATCATGAAGCCATTTTCCCGATCTTTCAATGAAGCATCAAACATGGACTACAAAGCAATATTTCAAAATTAAATTGCATTTTTGTATAGCCGTCCAGTAAATAGATCATAATGCACATAGCTCATGAGAATGAAATCTTGGAATGAATAATTTAGATTTTCCTTTACCTCATTTTTAATACAAAATATTTCCTTTTTATTGACATATGTCCTCCAAAAGGTGGAGTATACTTACTAGTGAACATATGTCTAGCCACCATCCACACACAAGTGGAAACACACCAATCTCCACGACAACCAGGAGTGATACCTTGACAACAACATAACACAATCCAAGTACTCGTTTGAATCTAAAAATAATAATAAATCTTTGAACTTCAGACCAAGAAAGATCGGCACTCATTATTCAAACTCAATAGTGCACTACAATCTTCCATTGCCTGGCAATGGATGACCAAGATAGACTTATGGCTGCCAATCCTCCTTGACTTTAGACCATTGTTTTAAATGCTGATTATTTCCAAATTATGGCCACTGTGAGAGAATATTGTCCATAGAGGAAATTTTGTCCTTGTTTGTATTGATGCCTTCCTGCTGGCCAATAGAATGTATTACTAATAAGCCCAATGTAGGTCACAATGTAAATTAATAGAAAACTGGACAATAAATTCAAAGGTAATAGAGACTTTTACTCCAGTGTACTCTTAAATATTTCTTTTTCTGAATGTGTTTTGAAAAACATTTAGCACACATGCTTATAAATTGTATTAGTGTAATACCTCACCTTCCGAAATTGACTATGGCCATTATGGCATGTAACACAACCAGTGACACAGCAATGACAATGTACCCGACCATGGTTGTCACGAGGCCATCGAATTGTGTGTATTCAATCTAAAACCAATACACTTTCATGTGAGAATTTGTTCAGCTTTTTTTAAATCAAAATGTATGGTTTTCATCAATTATCAATGAATTAAATGTATAAAATGTTCCTAATAAATGCCTAATAGGGTAGATGCCTCCCATTTATCTATAATACCAACCCATAAAGAAAATAATATTGAATTATACAATTATTTAATTTATTTCATCAATGGCAAACAACCCAGAAAACATGCCCCTACAAATAAAGAATGTTTTTATTTAGCTTTAAAATTAGAAGTTAAGTTATTTTTAAACATTTCTGTGACAATGCTACTGTCAAATTGTGACATTTTTAATAACTTTAGCAAGAAGTTTATCCAGTTTATAATAATTACTGATTTTGCACAAAAGTTTCACTTACCATCTCCTCAACTTTGAGACCCACTATTGTGAAGTGTCCAATATGATATGGACAAAATGCTGAAAGTAAATATATCACACAATATTAATTGTGAAGTATATTCAATATGATAAATAATTAAGTTCTTAAAATACTTTCATTTCTACCAAGATTGTATATGTCAGAAAAAAGATGATTGACTCAACAATAAACTGAAAATCTTTAAAATCAAATTTTAAAAATTTGAGTTTTTTATGATTTCAGGCTAAAAATACACTCCTTCCCTGCGCACAGTCTATTAATAAACTACGCTACATACATACAGAGTGAAGACGAAGCTCTCTTTTAAGAAGTGAAGTCGAACGAATGCAAAGGGTAATACACTCCTGGATAAGAGTGGCTAATTCATATTAAATATCCTTACCAAAGACTAGTATAAATAATGTGTTGAGGGAAACAACCCAGAAAACATGCTCCTACAAAGAAAGAATATTTTTATTTAGCTTCAGACTTAGAAATCTATATATAATAGTGAAGTTAAGTTATTTTTAAACATTTCTGTGACAGTGCTACTGTCATATTGTGACATTTAACAAATTAGTTAAGCAAGAAGTTAATCCAGTTTGTAATAATCATTGAATGTTTAATATTCATTATTCAAACAAAATAAATACACAATGAAGTTAGATTTAGATTTTACTTACCAAAAATACTAGAGACCCATCTAGTCCCAAAAGCTGGAAAACACAAAAATTCTAAATTAATGTTTAGCTAAAGACCAATTGATCTTGTGAATATATTTGAACAAATCTCAAAATATTGTTCACTTGAGGATAAAGTTAAAAGTAACATATTACACTAGTATATAATTTGAAACATTTCCCCTGTATTATAATACTAAGCAAGGTCAGACGTCATGAAAATAATTTTGGAAGGAAACAATTAGATATTTAAAAAAAATAAAAGTATGATCTTTGATCATATTTGTTTCTTAAGAAAGAATGTCACGCCTAAATCTTTATATTGTCAACTAACCCTGCAGACATTTTCAAGATTTTGAATTCATCTTAGACCTTATCTTACAGATGGACAATTCAAACTGCCATCTATATGTCCATGTACAGTGGGCATGACAAAAATGAAAGGAATTTTCCATTCATTACTTGGAATATCGTGTACAATAGATGTGGCTGAACTTCTAATAATCCAGAATAAGAAGTAAGGTAAGAATAACCTGGTGATTTGTCAGTGTATTATTCAATGGGGACATGTATTAACATTTTCACCAGCTGTTCCTTGTGGTATTTATAAAATTTTTAATGAAATCTGGGAAAAATTCATTATGATTAATTCATGAGAGACGCAGTTTACGTAAGACGGGGAATACAAAGAATTTGAGACCACACAATACACTGATGTAAGCAGAAAGTACACAATTCCTAAAATATTACGCTTTTGTGATTTTGTAGATTTTCATACGGAAATGAAATTTCAATTAGTTATATGAACTAATTGGGTACATGCATCTGAGAATAAGATGCTATTGTTAGTGGCATGTGGGGGTTGCCATATGGGACTGGCAGTAAAAAGGCGAGTGCTGTATTATATAACACAAGCCCCTTGATTTGCAGTAAATTAAAGATGAACAATAAATTGAATCCCTCTGAGGTTTAGTCTTATAAAAATACACATCCCAATGAACTTCACATGGTTCAGGTTTCATCAAGATCACGCTTTAACTAGCTCCTTCCTCTTCAATCTAAAGTGTGAATTTTATGTAATATAATGGAGATAAAGTGGGATTGCAAATAATATTGAAAATGTATATAATTCACATTGTTACAGGTTTTTTAATTTCACTGTTGTCACCTTCCCTTCCAATTTGTATTTCAATATCTAGTCTACCAAGGTATTTCCTTTATGGGTAATGGTATGTTGAAAAAACATTGTGCGTCATACTTGACATAATTTCATCAAGGCTTATATTGTTATATAAGCTAGGGAACTGTCATATAGATGACAGAGAATGCATCAACCAAAAACATTATTGTAGAAGTGATGAATACAGTCTTCAAATGAATATTTTCTTCATTTTGATAGCTCTGACAGTTATTGTACATTACACTAATGGAAAAACAACAGGAAAAGATTGGGATCTTCGGCTCGTGAATGGACCTGGAGACCATGCCGGGGCTGTTGAAGTTTTTTATAACTCAACCTGGTTTTCCGCCTGTAACCATCTAATGCATTGGACGAAAGACAGGAATATATCTAAAGGTATGTCAGCTGTATTTCTTAACATTGACAGACATTTACAATCTTTATACCATTTACGCTTAGTTAAGGACTTAAAACTTGGTTATTTTATTTATTTTTTATTTTTCAAACAATGTGCATTTATTAATATAATGTTTGCATTATCCAAATGTAACATTTCAGAGGGATATTAATATAGAATAAATAGGTTATTTCTGGTCGGAATTGAATATGGGTTGCATTCCTCGGAAAATATGATATTGACCTTGGGCAATATCATATTGACACTAGGTCGCTGCGCTCCCTCGGTCAATATCATATTACCCTTCAGTCAATATCATATTGTCCCTCAGAATAAAACCCATATTCAATCCCTCCCAGTGAATAACCTATATGTATCAGATGAACCAAATATGAATATCAGTACATAAAGCTTATATATGTGTACTTAAATATGTACTTCCAGTGCCTCCACTTAGGCACTTGTTTATTTAATTTTATATTTTTCTATTGGCTTGTCATTCACTTGAGTACTTACCTGTATGTGTGTACTTAAATATGTACTTCCAGTGGCTTGTCATTCCCTTTGGTACTTGTGTGTGTGTAGTTTGATATGTATTTCCAGTGGCTTGTCATTCCCTTTGGTACTTGTGTATGTACTTTGATATTTCCTTTTGGTACTTGTGTGTTTGTAGTTTGATATGTATTTCCAGTGGCTTGTCATTCCCTTTGGTACTTGTGTGTTTGTAGTTTGATATGTATTTCCAGTGGCTTGTCATTCCCTTTGGTACTTGTATATGTACTTTGATATTTCCTTTTGGTACTTGTGTGTTTGTAGTTTGATATGTATTTCCAGTGGCTTGTCATTCCCTTTGGTACTTGTGTGTGTGTAGTTTGATATGTATTTCCAGTGGCTTGTCATTCCCTTTGGTACTTGTATATGTACTTTGATATTTCCTTTTGGTACTTGTGTGTTTGTAGTTTGATATGTATTTCCAGTGGCTTGTCATTCCCTTTGGTACTTGTGTGTGTGTAGTTTGATATGTATTTCCAGTGGCTTGTCATTCCCTTTGGTACTTGTGTATGTACTTTGATATTTCCTTTTGGTACTTGTGTGTTTGTAGTTTGATATGTATTTCCAGTGGCTTGTCATTCCCTTTGGTACTTGTGTGTGTGTAGTTTGATATGTATTTCCAGTGGCTTGTCATTAACTTTGGTACTTGTATATGTACTTTGATATTTCCTTTTGGTACTTGTGTGTTTGTAGTTTGATATGTATTTCCAGTGGCTTGTCATTCCCTTTGGTACTTGTGTATGTACTTTGATATTTCCTTTTGGTACTTGTGTGTTTGTAGTTTGATATGTATTTCCAGTGGCTTGTCATTCCCTTTGGTACTTGTGTGTGTGTAGTTTGATATGTATTTCCAGTGGCTTGTCATTCCCTTTGGTACTTGTGTATGTACTTTGATATTTCCTTTTGGTACTTGTGTGTTTGTAGTTTGATATGTATTTCCAGTGGCTTGTCATTCCCTTTGGTACTTGTGTGTGTGTAGTTTGATATGTATTTCCAGTGGCTTGTCATTAACTTTGGTACTTGTATATGTACTTTGATATTTCCTTTTGGTACTTGTGTGTTTGTAGTTTGATATGTATTTCCAGTGGCTTGTCATTCCCTTTGGTACTTGTGTGTGTGTAGTTTGATATGTATTTCCAGTGGCTTGTCATTCCCTTTGGTACTTGTGTATGTATTTTAATATGTATTTCCAGTGGCTTGTCATTCCCTTTGGTACTTGTGTATGTATTTTAATATGTATTTCCAGTGGCTTGTCATTCCCTTTGGTACTTGTGTATGTATTTTAATATGTATTTCCAGTGACTTATCATTCCCTTTGATACTTGTGTATGTACTTTAATATGTATTTCCAGTGGCTTGTCATTCCCTTTGGTACTTGTGTATGTATTTTAATATGTATTTCCAGTGGCTTGTCATTCCCTTTGGTACTTGTGTATGTATTTCAATATGTATTTCCAGTGGCTTGTCATTTCCTTTGGTACTTGTGTATGTATTTTAATATGTATTTTCAGTGACTTATCATTCCCTTTGATACTTGTGTATGTACTTTAATATGTATTTCCAGTGGCTTATCATTCCCTTTGGTACTTGTGTATGTATTTTAATATGTATTTCCAGTGACTTATCATTCCCTTTGATACTTGTGTATGTATTTTAATATGTATTTCCAGTGGCTTATCATTCCCTTTGATACTTGTGTATGTATTTAATATGTATTTCCAGTGGCTTGTCATTCACTTGGGTATGATGACGGCATTGCTAAGCGTAACTACTTTCCCAAAAGTCACCTACCTCCATACATGGGACCCAAGGTATACCGTGTATGTAGTAAACCAGATTATTGTCATATTAGCGAGTGCACACAAGACGATTCTTTCTTTTACCACAACATGTGTAGTAGAAAGAAAAGCGAATATATCTCAATAATATGCCAAAATGGTAAGTTTTTTTGTTTTTGTATCTACATTGTCCTTCCATTTGTCATGATATAATCAATTTATAAATAATACAAATATATTTCATCAGATATCAGGTTTAAATGAACCAGAGATGTTGAATATTCATTGCCTACCTGTACTTGATCCTCGTTGAATGCAGTGATAGATATGTAGGCTAATTGGCAAAATGTTAGTTCACATTAATTATTTGTTCATGGTATTTCTAAATGACAATTGCATACCATTTCTAAACAATTGAAAACCAATAGATGATGTTATTTCAGTTACAGACATACACACTGTTCCTCCTGTGCCACCAGTTAGGCTTCTTAGCAATTACAATGTGTCAGGTGTTGAGAGAGGACTTGTTGAGCTCTTTTACCATGGAAGATGGGGACCAGTAGTAAAATCAGCTATTAAAACAATTGCCACTGCAAGGTGTGTCCATTATTGTTTCTATATTGATTTAAAGATGTCATTAACTTGATACTATGAATTTGCTGCAGTGTCGATTTTGGAGTGTTCTATGTATAGAAGCTTTTATGGTATTCAAGGTGATTTACAAAATACATTATGTCAAAGAATATCATATATAGCTCTGTGATCTACACAGGATTTTTTCTCAAGTTGGTGCAAAATTCTCATTTTCACAATTCAGACCAAAATTGGTCAAAATATGCCTATTTTCCGTGATTTTTCTCATTTTCAAGTGGGTGCAAATGGATTTTCAGGTGGGTGCAAGCCTATTTTCAAAATCTCAGTTGGGTGCTTCGCCCACTTGCTTTAATGCTGGGGAGATCAATGTAATTCTTACTCATAATATTATAACTTTAGAATAGTATGCAGAGAGCTTGGTTGGCCAAATGGAGTGGTTTATCAACCAAAAGAGGGTGAGAAGGTAACAGTAGGACAAATAAGACAACCTGTTTTGCGAATAGACTGTAATGGAAGCGAGGCATCCATCAGTGAC